TATATATATATATATACGTATATATATATATATATATATATATTATATATATTATAATTAGCTTTGACTTCAGTGCAGTGACAATATAAAAGCCAGTAGTAAACAACATGTTGTGAGATGTAATACAATGCTTTTCTTGTACAGAATAGTTGGGTCTTGGCTGTATATGAAATGCATATAATTCTTTCAAGGGGTTCATCATATTTTGGCATCCATAGCATCTAAATGCTTGAAAACCCCTGGTCTAGGACATTATTAGGGTAATACTCTTCATGCAGGATTTAAACAGTTAAGGACGAAGGAAAGCAGTAAGAGCAATAAATGGAGAGCAGGAGGCTGTTCTCAGAGTGCCACTTCTCACGAAAGAATGGTTTCAGTCTTGAGTTAGTTTCATCTCCTCCTCGTTCACACACTGTTCATCGTTCTCCTCAGGGAATCACACCACCACCAGCCGCCCAACCTGCTGCTCCTGCTGCCTGTTTCTCTTTTTTTCTCTCCATCTGTCTTTTTGGGCTGAATCAACCAACCTTGTGTTACAGCCACTATTTAATCAGAGAACGAATCCATTACTCAAATGTGTGTTTTAAGCGCTGTCAATCAATTAAAACTTAAATGAGATCATTACATGAAATGCCAATTACTCTATCAAATTAAACACAATTTACAAAAATTACAATTAATTGCACATCTAAATATTGAAGATAATTCCCAAAATGAAGATAATTCGAAAACATTGTGGCAGATAAGTCATTCATTGAGCAGATATTACAAGTAGAATGTGTCGTTTGAGAACAGCTTGACATGTTTTAGTTTTTTTGTATTTATATGCACCAGAGTGTGTTCTAGTTGATTGATTTTTGGATTCTTATTTCATCAGACAAGGGTCGATATTATGTGGAAGCTCTGGAGAAAATGTCTTTCTCTGTTTCCCATAGCTGGGAGGTGGTGCGGTTCCTCCTCTCAAACCTGCGCTGGTGGATGGAGGAGTATCACTTTGATGGCTTCAGGTTTGATGCTGTGACTTCAATGCTGTACCACCATCATGGCATCGGTTAGTTGTTCTGCAACTGTAAACAAGCCATCATTCATTGTAAAAACAAATCATTGTCTTAATAGTATTTGTTCTTTTCCTGTTAAAATATCTAAGTATCAAGGTAAATTTCTTTCTTTCTTTCTTTCTTTCTTTCTTAATCATTTATTTAATGTTTTCAGTTCCGATCCCTCATTTGGTTGATTAAAAAGAATCAGCTCATAAGAGTCATTCAGAAATCAGTCTAAACTGGTTGTGCTGTATGCTGATTCACTAAAAGCTAAAAGAATCGGCTCATAAGATTAATTCATTTAGGAATCGGTCTATACTGTTTGTGCTGTATGCTGATTCACTAAAAGCTAAAAGAATCATTCAGCTCATAAGATTAATTCATTTAGGAATAGGTCTATACTGTTTGTGCTGCATGCTGCTACACTAAAAGTTAAAAGAAACAGCTCAAAGGTGTCATTTGTTCAGGAATCGGTCTACACTGGTTGTGCTGGATGCTGATTCACTAAAAGTTAAAAGAATCGGCTAAAAGAAATAATACATTCATAAATCAGTCTACACTGGTTGTGTTGTATGCTGACTCACTAAAAGCTAAAAGAATCATCTCATAAGATTAATCCATTCAGGAATCGGCCTATACTGTTTGTGCTGTATGCTGATTCACTACAAGCTAAAAGAATCGGCTCATAAGAGTCATTCATTTTGGAATCGGTCTACACTAGTTGTGCTGTATGCTGAAAATACGAAAAATTAATGACAGATACAACCAACTCTCTGAAAACATGCAATGCAACTTTGCTTTTGATTCTCAAGTAGGTCTAACATTTATCCTATGCAAGGACATTTCATTTTTACTGAAAATGAGACAAACTTACTGATTAATTTATTTTATTTAATATGCATTGCTGTGTCCATGTAAAGATTATTTACCTTATGTAGAAAGTGGTGTACTTCATATGTCAAATGTCACTGTCTATATTGGTCTATAGAGAGAGCGAGTCTGTATAAGTGCCTCTGAATCAGTTCAATCAGATGAAATGTGAAGGCTTTGATGCACTGATTCATGAAGCGTGTGTAAGAGGCATGTCAACTATGTCATTTCTGTTGTATTAATAAAGCTCCGAATCATCGAATATGGAGGAAAAGTACAAACTGCATGAATAGTTTTGAAAGGCCCTCTTAGACCATTATCATAAATGATGGGAGACCTTGGCCACTCTGTGCATATTACAGTAAAATGATTACACTTGTGAAAAGATTGTGATGCCATTAATCCATATCCCACTGGACATTTTCTCTGAATCACACAGTCAAATTATCTGGTTTTGCCCAGGCACGTCGTTTTCGGGGAACTACAGCGAGTACTTCGGGATACATGTGGATGAAGATGCACTTGTCTATCTGATGCTGGTCAATCACATTCTCCACAAGCTCTACCCACAATGCATCACTGTAGCAGAGGTAAGAGTCTACCTGCAACGTGGTGCATTTCTATTTTTTCACAGGAGGTATAATTTTTCCTCTTTCCCACCAATTACAGCTCCCATTACCTTTTTCTCGCTCCCAAGTGGAAATTTCATTTCATTCTTTTCTATTCTCCTGCTCTGTGCTGGTGCGTTTATTTAAAGCTGAGCTCCTGTGAGGTCGGAGCTGAATGCTGTGGCTAATGGATCAGGCTGATAATTGGGTGATTAAGGCCAAAAGATTCAAGAAAAGAGCAGGAGAGATTTTCAGGGGCAGGCTCCGTAAGAATCTGCGCCACAGTCTGTTTTGCTCTCTTCTTCGCTGGCCTCATATGACCCACAGGCAGATTGTAATAGAAGCAGGCATTTTTCAAATTGCTTTAATTTGCCCATCTGCCAATGTTATTAATCAAAAGTACAGAATGAATGGGAAGTAGAAGAGTACAACAGCTGAAGATGGACGGAATCTGTATCTCAAGGGTTACCTCAAACCAGGCAACATTCGTTCCATACATTTACTCAATCCCAAACCCTCTCACTGCAAGAAAATAAAATCTGAATTAATATTTTTGTTCAAAAACAAACACTTTGCTTTTGAGTATGAAGAGTTTTGCCAAAGAAAGTGACTCCTTCAGTTAAAGTGTGTTCTTGATTGCCATTTTCAATCCTTACATTTTCTTAACCCTAATGTGGCATATAAATTGGGAAATTGGACCCCGTAATGGTCAGATCTCAATGGAACTGCCAGTCTCAATCCAAAATGTTCTCTCTATATATTATTTTTTCTCAATTTTTCTCTGCACCATGGCTTCATCTTTGCTGAAAATTCCAGTTCAAAATAGTCTAAACTGGTCTAAGGTATATTAACTGGTTAATAGCTTTGTGTGAATTTGAGTCATTATCCACTGAAAATCTTGACCTCCACCACAGCTATCCTTAGCACATTTGTTAGAGAAGTAGTCAGATTTGTGTATGAAATAATATTGTAAATCAAATATTTTCAATGAATCAGTCGATCCAATTCACAAAACCAGTCTGAATGATTCATTCACAAATAGGACTAATTTGATACTCGAGTTCAACTCACTGATTCAATGCTCCTGTTGCAGGAGGAAATGGCTTACTGGAGGGGAGATATACAAAGCTTCAGGACACATGGAAAAAATGTTTGGAGCACTTTTATGATGCATTTAGGGTCATTTGTGGCTTTTAGTTTTACACTGAAAAAATTGAGTCTCTTCCTCAGTATTTTTGTCTTGTGTTCCAGTACAAATATCTAAACATTCTTAATTCAAGATACATTTACTTGCGAAGCAAAGTGGTGTAAAATATGAAGTATTTTTTTCTGATTAAGTGAGTTTATGCTTAAAAAATGTCTGTGGTGTAAGAAAAACAAACAATACACAGGGAAATAAGATTATTTTTATTACTTCATTAGCTGATATTTTTTTTTGTTTTAAGCAAAAAATCAAATTTAATTTTGTTTGTAAGAAAACAAGACTAAGGGCCAGATTTACTAACAGCTTGCGCCAATACAAACCTTTTTGCGTTAAAACTACTGTCAGGATTTACTAAAGACGCGCAGTGAAGAATAAGCGATGAAAAGGTGTGGACACAGTTATTTTTGTGCCTGACTTTATATGCATTTGCAGGAGTTTCCCTTTCAGATGCAAAATTTAAGGGAGGAGAGTATTAAAATTAATCATGCAACGCGATATACTAATGTTTGAACTCATCAAATTACTGGTATTTATGCCATTATTTAAAGCCTAAAGAATATGTCTTAAAGCAGGCAGTAATTTGCGCTGCTCTTGGTAGATTCCGCTGGTCATTATAGAAATTATCTGGCTGTGTCTGTGTTCTTTAATGTGCGCATTGTTAGTGAATCACCCACAGAATTTTATCCTCCCATCTGCGCTTTTATGAAATTGCACTCTAATGCTAATTTGTTAATTTAGTAAATCTGGCCATAAATATCTGATGTCATTTTGCTTGCCAACTAAATGTATCTTGGTTAAAGAATGGTTAGATATTTGTCATGACCAGCTTGGACCAGATAGAAGCCAGGTGTTCCAAGACACAGCTTAATCTGCATTTTTCCAAAAGGCAATGCACATGGTCACACTTTTTACTGCTTTCCATTCCTCATGGATTTTGTGTAGGATGTATCAGGGATGCCAGGCCTGTGCCGGTCCATTGAAGAGGGAGGACTGGGATTTGATTATCGTCTGACCATGGCCGTGCCAGACAAATGGATCCAGGTGAGCTTCCATCTCCTGTGATTTCTCCCTCTCCACACAGATGTTGCTCCTTTGTGTTTGGTTCTGTGCAAATGATGTTGTTTGATGTTTGCAGTTCACCGTTTTGGGGTCATCTCTCTTTATGAAGCTGTGTATTTGTAGTCTGTGGCTGTCGTGCGTCCAAATCCCCTGCTGGCTCGGCTCTATCTGCGCATGTATCAGCGTGGGCATTTCCGCTTTAATTCGAGCCAGGTTTTTGCATGACCGTGCCTTTTTAAAATGACAAAAGGAAGAGTATTGATTGAGTTTGCTTCGTGAGTTCAGGGTGTAATCTGAGATCTGGCACAGCCTGTTCAGATAGCAGCCCTCTTTTTTCTGTTGGGCTTCTATTTTAGTCCCACTTTACCCATCTTTCATTCGTCCTTTGGCAGCATTTTGAATGCCATTAAAAGGTCTGTGTATTGATATCCCCGTCTCTATCTCTCTGTTACATCAAGCCTTTCGTTTGTGTGAATTTTTTTGCGCTGGTTCTGTCTCTCTCTCTCTCACACACACACACACACCTCTCGTTCTTCAGACTTATTCAATATGACTTCCAAAACTCTAATCACTTTCAAGTCTCGTATAGGAAAGTCAAAAATTTTCACGCTTGGCACCAAACCAGAACATAACCCCCGGAAAATAATTGAAAACAAGTGAAACAAATCATATTCAATCATATAAAAAAGAGACTTGAAAATTGTATTGCATTTTAGCTGAGCACAGAATATCAAACGTATACCTGTTTACAATCTTAAAGGAACAGTTAAACCCAAAACGACAGTCCTGTCATCATTTTAGCCATGTGCCAGTATTCGGTAATGCGATATATTCAGGATAATGAATATGCACAATATTGTTATCGTGGGCACTTAAAAATACCTATAATAATTATTTATTTTTAATTTTGAACGCATTTTAAGAATACTTTTCCCATCAACTGGTCACAATGCACAACACCGCTGATGTAAACAAAGCACGGATGAGAAGCTCATGGTGGAACGCGTGAGAGATGCTCTGGATGAAAGCGCACATTCACTCTCTGACAGCAAATGCCACTGAACAGCATAAATGCAGCCGTTACCCCGGAAACCTGTAATCAAACAGCTGTGCTACTTTCTGTTTCTGAAATGTGTTTAAATTATTTAAATAGCCATTCAGATTTTTGCACTCGCTATGGTGTTCATCACAGTGCCAAATACTTAAATATTTAGACTTAATAGGCTATTTATTTTCAAACTTTTTTACATTTTCATCTGGACTAAACATGCCCTAGATATTGTTTGAAAATGTTTTGATTCTTTATTGTTCGGTCACACTTTACATTAGTGCTTCATTAGATAGCATTAGTTAATTCATTAGTTAACACAAACTGCGAATGAAAAATTCTTCTAAACATTCATTAATCTTAGGTAATTCCAATATTTAATAAAATTAAAAGTTGCAACCGTGTTATTTAATGAGCTAACATGAACTAAGTTTTATTTTTTAACAAAGATTAATAACTTCTATAGCAAATGTAGCTATTGCTCATTGTGATTGTTAAGGCATTAACTAAGGTTAACTAATGAGATCTAATTGTAAAGTGATACCTATTGGTCTTTATAATTATTTTTCACTTTAATCTGTGTAAAATGTTTAAAAAAAATTCTGTATTGCTTTAATGTATTTAAATGTTATTTTTGTTATAAGAAAAAAGTTATTAAACCTGTTATACTGTATTATGACAACCCTTTTTTTAAACTAAATGTCAATATCATGATAATACCGTATACCGTGATAAAAGCATTAGCAATTAATCGCAACATGAAAATTTGATATTTGCATATCTCTATTTACTCACTCTCATGTGGTTCAAACCCGAGTGACATTATTATGTTTGTGGAATGTTGATGCTGCTCTTTTCCAAAAGCTTACAGGTAACATGTGTGTACTTTTTCAGGTCATCTAAAGACATCTGATAAATTTGTGAAAAATCTGTTCCCACACAAAGCTATGTCATTATCACTGTCACCATACACTGAAAAAAATTATTCATTGAATTTACTAATTTTTTTAAGATAAGTGGTTGCAATCAATGTATTTTAGCTACATTTAAATAAATAAATTTAGTTGACTAACTTTCAAAAAAAAATGTATTGTAGCTGTAATAAATTGTTTGCAGCCACTTACCTTAAAAAAATGTAGTATCATTTTTTTCAGTGTAGCTCTGAAATCTCATCTTATGCTTCTGTATGGTCATATTATGCCCCAATTGTGGTATCAATGACAATGGCACTAATTTTTGCATATCTTATAATCAATTATGTTGCGCCAACTTTAAACGTGTGGAGGCATTTACAAAAAAAAAAAAAGGAATCATGCTAAAAGTTATGCTAATAATCTTCTTGAGTGTTTTTATTTAAAGAAAAATATCTAAATATCACTTAGAAGCAAAATTGCATAATTGTGTAACTATAATGTTAAAAAAAATTATATTTCAAATAAAAGCTATTTTTTAACCTTCTGTTCATCAAAGAAACCTGAAATAAAATGCATCATGATTTCCACAAAAATATTAAGCAGCAAAACTGTTTTCAACATTGATAATAAGAATAAGAAAAAGTTTCTTAAGCAGCAAATCAGCATATTAGAATGATTTCTGAAGGATCATGTGACACTGAAGACTGAAACTTCAGCTTTGCCATTACAGGAATAAATAACATTTTAAAATGTATTAGAATAGATCAAAGAAATGCAGCTTTGGTGAACTTAAGAGGCTTCAGAAGACTTTGAGTACAACCCACAAGTCCTATGTACCAGTTTTATGGTATAATTTTATGTTATTTTTAGATGAAAGTCATATGGGTTTGGAAGAATGGGGGTGAGTAAATTAATTTTCATTTTTGGATGAACTTTTCTTTTAATCCCTTGACAAACTACAGTAACCCTGCGTCTGTGACCCCCCTCAGACAAAGAAATTTATGTCCACACTTCACATCTCCGTGCCATAACTCTCGTTTTCACAATGAGGTGTTCAAAAGGGCAAACTCCCTCCTGATTTACTACTGAATTCCACCTCTTCCTCGCTTTCTGTGTCTCTCTTCCTCTCCTCCTATGTCACACGCAGCTTTAGGGCTTCTCAGCTGTGCGCTGCGCTGTGACAGAGGTCAGCTGAGCGTGGCTCACTTGTGAAATTAAAATGTCCGCCTCTCCGAATCGATAATGCAGATGATGAACAGAGTGGAGAGAAACAGGAGGAGAAGAGGGCCACGGTCTGTAATGAAACCTCCCCAAAAGCTAATGAAATCTTTAGAGCTTTCCATAAAGAGAGCAGCTGTTCTCTCTCCCTCACTGTATTCGGTGATGAATACATTAATATGTGGAATCAATAGGTTTATTAACGATGCCGTTTGATTTGCGGGGCCGAGAGGAGAGCGAGAGTTCAGTCATACTTCCTGAAGAAGAGAAATCGAAATGAAGTTATAACTGAAGAGCAGATTAGATCACAATGAGTTTCTGGTGGCCTGTGGCGGGTGGCAGTTATAATGTCTGCTGCTGTCTGTTGGGTGGAGAGGTCAACTTTAACTGAGACATACAGTATCATATAGGTGTTTCTGTGTGCATTACCACTTAAATTCACATTCCCACATAAGCATCATGGCATATTTTATTTTTATTTATTTTTCTTGTTTAGGTTTTTCTTGTCTAGGTTTTGTTTTGGTTGTGTTGAAGTTTTATTTTTTTCTGTTGTGTTCTGTTTTATTTAAAAAAAAAAATATTTTACTTAAATATTTTTCTTTTATTTTTAATTCAGGTTGTGTTCTTTTTTTGTTTTGTTGTTTTGTTTCATTTTGTTAGTGTTGACGTTTTGCATTGTTTGTGTTATCTTGAGGTTTTTGTTTCACTTGTGTTGTGTTTAAGTTTTGTTTGTGTTGTCTTGAGGTTTTTGTTTTGTTTGTGTTGTTTGAAGTTTTTGTTTCATTTGTGTTGTTTAAGTTTTGTTTGTGTTGTCTTGAGGTTTTTGTTTTGTTTGTGTTGTTTGAAGTTTTTGTTTCATTTGTGTTGTTTAAGTTTTGTTTGTGTTGTCTTGAGGTTTTTGTTTTGTTTGTGTTGACTGAGGTTTTTGTTTCATTTGTTTCGTTTGTGTTGTGTCAAAACAACACAATATTACAATATTAAGTAGCAGCTATAACACGTCTTCACCATATGGCTTCAAAGCAGCCATAGAATTACATACTGTTACTGTGTGATCTTTTTTTATTCTTATGCAAAATGTTTATTTTATATAGTAACCCTTAAAGCAATAAGCCCATCCAGTGCACATCATGGCTAACGTGGTTATAATAACAATACAGCACAACCTCTCATACCTTATTGTATTGTAAGTATTACGCATATTGTTAACTACACAAGCACTTAGCGTGGATCTTTGTGAGCAGGTTTTAGTCTGTTATGAGTTTGATCATGTATTTTATCTGTGTGTAGTCGTGAGTATTTATTTACGTGTGAGCATATGTGCGAACGATCTCTTATGTGCTCTGGGAGAAAGAGGTCATGGTGGCAAATAAAGCCATCGTGTGTAATTACCAGCAGTGCCACTAGAAAACAGATTAATATCCTTCTGGCCTCTCTGGCTAAAAGCACTCCACAACCCTTATTTGTTTAATTCATATCCTGGTGCTGAGCTCCATGTGGCTGTTGATTTGATTAATTTGCTTAAGCAAATTAACTCAAATGATCTAATAATTTTCCATTACCTCCACACCCACGTCAACACCCCACCCTCGTGCTCGTCTGCTCTCAAGAGGAACAATTAAAGCTTGTAACGCATAATTGTAATGGGAAGTCACTCTTTTTGGCTTCCTCATTAGAGCATATTGGAGTTTTAGTTCAGCCTCCGGTGGATGAATTATGTATCAATATACTTTTATTTCTCTTCGTGGTCTGAGGAGGAGAAATGTGGGAGGGAGAGAAAGATGGAGAGAAAATAAGATATGATG